CCAAACATCAATGCAATAGATTAAATGTGGAACAATGATTGTGTTATACAACATGTACAGAGCTTTATCATTTAATAATTCCCTGACTTTGTATAGTACTGCAATACATTTAGATATTTTTGTTCTTACAGAATTGATGTGATTTTTCCATGTTAGTTGTTCATCAATGATTACACCCAAAAATTTAATCTCATTAACTCTACAAATCTCAACACCCTCAATTTTAAATGGATCATCAACAGTTCTCTTTTTGTTACTAAATATCATGTATTTAGTTTTATCTAAATTTAATGATAATTTATTAAGTTTAAACCAAGTTTGTGTAGTGAACTTAACCTGATGTCAAAACTAAGCCTAAGGTCAAAACCCTTGACCTTAAGAACCTTGTGGGACAGAAACTGTCATTTCATTGATTTGAATCCAGAAATACAGGTTCACCCATCCTGAGACTTTCCTTCTTGAAAATCAAGTGAAAGAACACTCTCTTTTTATCTACATAACAATTTTACAAATGTTGATAATCAAAGTGTCTTAGTTCAAACCATTTTAGATGTTGCAGTGAACTAATCAATTTTATTAACTGTAAAACAGTAACAATGATTTTTAGTTGCTTATGCAAAGTTAGAATTCATGTTAAGGCCTGTTACAGAGTTTTTATGCATTTTCTGATTTCTGTCTTTGAATGAGCAAGTGTGCGTTTTCCAAGGTCAGGAGTCGAAGCAGACATGTGTTGGAACAACTGTCTTGTTTACATCCTCTCAGACGTCAACGGAGGAGTTGGCACCTGTTTCTAAAACTCGCCAAAACAAAACTCTCTCTGTCTCTGAGAACAGTTTAATCTGTTCCATAACAATTCTTGCTGTTTTCTGACTTCTAGTAACCTCTTACGTCACAAACCACACCCCTGTCTGGTTGTTTTTGACCAATCAGGGACGATCAAATATACCGGGAATAGAGCTCTTTAAAATGCCGGTACTTCCTAGTTCTCTCGGAGTCTGAGCAGTTCGGCGGCGCGGAGAAGTTCTGAGATGTTCGCAGTTCTGTGAAGTCGTTTGGGAGAACAGAAGTCCAGCATGATAAGGCTCCTCCGAGTTGGATTATAACATCTTCCACCTCTGAGTGGAACTTCTGAAGGATTCCACTCATGTGAAGTCCACTTGCTGAGGTGAGCTGGTGTCGGACGGAATCTCGTCACTACTTCGGACGAGTCACAGCCATCCTATGGAGACGCTGGACAGGTAGCTTTAACTGGACCTCCATATCTGCTGATTTATCTTCAGAAAGGTAATGAGTCAAGTTTACTACCAAAGCGTACCGAGGAAAAGCTGGGTTCTAATGGAGAGTGTCGGTTCTGGTCAACACTTCCCCTCACACACCATCTTTTACTCCCTTTAAACTTCATTTCCATCTTTAAATTCTTCTCTCAAGTAGAAATCCTTCCAGATAATTTAGAAATGTCTGTGTAAAGTGCTCATCCACCGCCGTGTGGATAATTGATCATAATTGTACAGTTTTCATTGATGTCTGCTGTTCTGCTGAAGAGTGGAAACAATCGCCGCATTGTTTCTCACTACCTGTAAAGCTGTTAATTATGTTGTTATTTTCATATTTTGCCAAATTAATGTAAATGTTTGATGTTAAACTTTGATTCTGTAAAATAAATGACCGCATTCATTTTGATGGGTCAAAGATAAATGACGTCTCACGTTTGCATTTCATTAAATTCAATGCACGTTTTATCCAGTCCAGAAAAATGAAGAATCCGTTTTAATTGATGAATATTTCTCAGCATCTGTTCATCTACATTTGTATTTTATCAAATTATGTCTTCATCAATTCCAACATCCGTTTTACATCTTTACCCAAACAAAAAAATGTGGTTTCATCTGCAAAAAGGACACATTTGAGGAGTCCTGATACATTCACTAAGTCATTCACATATAAAATAAATAACTTTGGTCCAAGTACAGAGCCTTGAGGAACTCCACAAGTGATATTGCGCAGGTCAGATCTTACACCATTTATTTGTACAAACAGTTTCCTATCTTTTAAATAGCTAGATACCCAGTGTAATGCTGGTCCTCTTACACCATATTTATTTAATTTTTCAAGGAGAATAGTGTGGTCAATAGTATTGAATGCTTTTTTTAAATCAACAAAAATACTAACACAATACTGTTTTTGATCGACAGCAGTAGTTATTTGTTCTAATATTTCTATGAGAGTCATTGATGTAGAGTTTTTTGCTCTAAACCCATACTGACTGCTACTTAGAAGTTTTTGTTTAGTAATAAATTTATCTAATCTGGTCACAAACAGTTTTTCTAGAATTTTTGAGAACTGTGGTAATAAGGATATTGGTCTATAATTATTGAACATACATTTATCACCATTTTTAAAGAGAGGAACTACCTTAGCTACTTTCATATTGTCTGGAAATATTCCTTTTGAAAATGATAAATTACAAATATATGTAAACGGCTCGATAACATAACTCATTATGTCCTTTACAAACATCATATCCATGTCCATCCAGTCTTTTGATCTCTTATCTGTAAGATTTTTTACTACATTCATTATTTCTTCTTTGTCAGTTCCATTAAGAAAAATACTGTTGTCACAACTTATAACTGAATGGTTCACATTATTGTCTACTTTTGGTATTTTAGCTGCAAGTCTTGATCCAAGGTTCACAAAATGATGATTAAATCCATTTACAATTTCATTTTCATCATGGATTTCATTGTCATCCTTCAAAAAATATTGTGAAATACCTGTTTTTGCTTTGTGACTTTTCAGAACATTATTTATTACTCGCCATGTTGCTTTCATATCACCATTACTTTTATTTAATAAATCACTATAATATTCCTTCTTGTGTTTCCTTATAATCGCCACTAATTTATTTTTATACTTCTTATATTTCTCTTCAGCCTCTTGTGTTCTCAATTTCAAGAAACATGTATACAAATAATTTTTTTTACAAGCATTTCTCAACCCTTTCGTCATCCATAGTTGGTCAACAACATTTCTCTTTGTATAATTATTTTGCACACAATTCTTTTCATACAGAGCTCCCAAAATATTCATAAACTCATCATATGATCTGTTCACATCATCAACATACACGTCTTTCCAGCTTTGTTTATGTAAATCATCTTTTAATTTGTCCATTGCTTTTTTGATGCATTTATTGTTTTTTTCTTAATTGTGATTTCTTTTGTAATGCTTTGATCATTTTTATAAATCATGAAAACTGGTAAATGATCACTCAAATCACTCATTAAAATACCTCCCATCACATCCCCATTTGTTACATTTGTGAAAATATTATAGATTATTGTAGCACTATGAGTTGTAATTCTTGTTGGTTTTGATATTAACGGATAAAGATTTAAACTATACGATGAATTTGTAAATGTACTGATGTTATTTGAATCTATTTTATTTCCCAGGTCAATATTAAAGTCTCCACACAAAAAAAATAGTTTTTATTAAAACTCTTGTCCAATAGTTGTAAGATTTTATCAGTGAATATTTTTATATTTGATCCTGGAGATCGATATACACAACTTATCAATATGTTTTTATCATTCTTGTTTATTATTTCTATTGTTATTATTTCCATGATATTATTAACAATTATTGACATTTCATTAATTAATTTACATTTTATTTCATTTTTAACAAATAGAGCCACTCCACCACCTCTTTTGTTGCTTCTGTTCACATGATATAATTCATACCCTTCCATGTGAACATTAGTTGTGTTTTCATCGTTGAGCCATGTCTCTGACAGTGCTATTATTGTAAAGGTTCTGTTTAGCTGTTTCAAATAATCTGTTATTATTGTTATTACAGGGGAGGTGGTTGTGGACTTCGGAAGGAACAAAAACATCTACACCCCCTGAACATGGGGGGATCTGCGGTGGAGGTGGTCTGGGACGGGCTGGTCTGGGAAGCTCAGTCTGTAGGGATGGCACCATCTAGTGGGCCTTCCCCCTGTCTTTTCTCCCTTGTGTCTGTATTGATTGTCTGATTATCGTCACCTGTGTCATGTCCTGGTTGTGTGTATATAAAGTCTGTCTGTCAGTTCTGTCATTGTCGGTTCGTCGTTGGGTATTGCCTGTCCTGTCTGTCTGATCCTGTTCTTGAGTCCAAGTTGTAAGTTTTGCTGCCATGTCAGCCTTTTGATTTATTATTATTATTATTATTAAAAGTATTTTATTTTATACGTTTGCCTCCTGAGTCCTGCCTGCGCAACTGGGTTCTTCTGTCCTGATCTGCCTTGAAAACCCCTGACAGTACGAACCGACCAAAACCTGAACCCAGCAGGCAGACTCAGACTCTGCTCACCTGTTTTTGCCCGAGTTTGTCCAGATGGAGGGAGCTGCGATCCGGTGCGGTGCCTTTTGGACTAGACCCATCCTGGGACTGAGAAGCTGCACCCAGGCGGTCGAGGTTCTGCCTTCGCCTCTCTTACTGCAGGAGGAGAGACGAAGATCTCAGCTCCAAAGGAACCACACAGCACCCAGGTTCAGTTCCTCCTACTCACCAGTCTGCTCTGGGTGGACGTCTGGGGAGGACGCCGAGTCAGAGGACGAACTCTGGTTCACCCCGGTACACCACCCACATCACCGCCAAAAGGGAAAGAGAAGACGCAACCGGAACCGGTCTGCTGCTCTTCCGCCCACATCACCTGCATTTCCAGCTCCTCGCATTCAGCCCAGCGAGGCTGAGTTTTTTGGTTCCGCCTCCTCCTGGTCCCAGCCTCCAGCCTGCTCTCCTCAGCCAGAACCTGCGAAACAGGGGAGAATTTTGCAGCGGGGGGAGCAGTCATCCCCCCGTTCGTCTGTGGAGTGGACGAAGGGGGGCCAGCCCGGGGAGCATGTTGGGCAATCGCTTCCTGCTCCTATTGAGGATGACCAAATCCCTGAGCTGCCTTCTGTAGAGGACCAGGTGGCTCATCCTCTCATCAAAGGCTCTATAATGATTCTCAGAATAACTCCAAGAGACAGAGTTACAAATAGAAGACGCCTGGTGGACCAACTCTTAGATATATTCCTCTCACAGCCTGACCTGCTCAGCACATCGGTTCATCAGGTGATCTTTCAATTTGCCATGAAATTAAGAGCTGAACTCGATCCCGGTTTTTTCTCGTCACACACTGAAGAGCCTGCAGCCAGCCCAGAGCCTGCAGTCAGCCCAGAGCCTGCAGCCAGCCCAGAACCTGTAGCAGCCGGACCAGAACCTGCTGCAGTACCAGAACCCGTAGCAGCCAGCCCAAACCAAGATCCAGCACCAGACAATCCAGTCGCAGAAGAGTTCCTCACAGCTGCAGCCCCTGTGGTCGCTCCCATGCCTACCACAGTCCCTGTAGTTTTTCCATCTCCTGCAGCCTCTGTATCATCCACGCTATGTGAGGACACAACCTGTCCTGAGCCCATAGACCCAGACGCATCTTCTCCTGATCATGTTGCTGCACACAGCCCCCGTGGTAGATCCCTTACCGCTCCTGCCTGCTCAGCCGTGGGAGTCCAGGTGGACTCTGCTCCTGCCTGCTCAGCCGTGGGAGTCCAGGTGGAC